ACGCGCATCATCCCGCGCCACCTGCAGCTGGCCATCCGCAACGACGAGGAGCTCAACAAGCTGCTGGGTAAAGTCACCATCGCTCAGGGCGGCGTCCTGCCCAACATCCAGGCCGTGCTGCTGCCCAAGAAGACCGAGAGTCACCACAAGGCCAAGGGAAAGTGAACTGTATTTGCGCGTGTCTTTCTCTTTTCTTGAGCAGGGAAAACCAACCTAACAAAGGCTCTTTTCAGAGCCACCCACAATTTCCAGTAAATGAGCTGTTATGCTTGGGATTCTGCTTTCCGTACAGATTTTGGGGTAAGTCGGGATGGTATCTCGTAATAAATTGCCCTACAGAAATCTAGCCCCATAAGTCTTTGCGGGAACTTTGGGTTTGGAGAAGGAAAGCCATCTCTCTCCCAGCGGTTACTTGAGAAGTTTTAGCAGAAACAACAGTTTTATATTTAAAGAAAAGTGTAATAGGAGACGCACAGGGCCTTAATCAGTATTTTATCATGAAAATGCTCGGGAACACCCGCAAACTCTCCGCCTGTACCTATTGAGAGTAAGTTACATGCACTTTCACATTTCGCACTTAAACTCAGAAAAACGCTCTTGATTTTAGAAAATACCTGCTAATTGCCTACTTGTAGCACACTCATGAAGTTTATCATTTTAAATGCAAACCATTTATAAATTTCCCTAACTGCTTTCAAAATATCTGATGGGTTGTTTCCCTTCCCCCTTTCCCCCCTTCCCCCTTCCCCCTCCCTCCCGCCCGAATCTGTTACAGGATTAGCTTGCAGTCAGGATTTATGCCCACAGTAGCTGTAGAAGCGAAAGGGTAAATAAAATGACGTCAGATTAGTTCCGGTGAAGGACAGGGCGTCGGATTTGTTCACCAACCGGAAAGCAGCTCTTAATCAGGGCAGCCAAGCACTAAAATGGACCAATCCGGGAAAGGCGCGGGGACTTTTGAATCTTCTTGGACCCAATAGTTGCTGTTCTGACTCTATAAAAGAAGGGTGCTCTTTCTCTTTGCAGGAATCGCTGAAGACTTTCCTTGTGGTTTTCAATAATATCTGCCTGTGATCACAAAGTGAACGTCGCCGCCAATGCCTTAGCTGCGAGCTGCAGGGGAACGACTGCCTTGTCCAATCAGAAGAGGACCCTGTTTATATATACAGGTAGAAGTGCCTATGCTTTCATTTCTCCATCAGCTGCCTGTTTCAGGAGATTTGTCATGGCCCGGACCAAGCAGACGGCTCGCAAGTCCACCGGCGGCAAGGCGCCCCGCAAGCAGCTCGCCACCAAGGCAGCCCGCAAGAGCGCGCCGGCCACCGGCGGCGTCAAGAAGCCCCACCGCTACCGGCCCGGCACCGTGGCCCTGCGCGAGATCCGCCGCTACCAGAAGTCCACCGAGCTGCTGATCCGCAAGCTGCCGTTCCAGCGCCTGGTGCGCGAGATCGCGCAGGACTTCAAGACCGACCTGCGCTTCCAGAGCTCGGCCGTGATGGCGCTGCAGGAGGCCTGCGAGGCCTACCTGGTGGGGCTGTTTGAGGACACCAACCTGTGTGCCATCCACGCCAAGCGAGTGACCATCATGCCCAAGGACATCCAGCTCGCTCGCCGCATCCGTGGGGAGAGGGCGTAAGTTACCTTCCTGCGATGAGCGAGAAGCCTATACCCAAAGGCTCTTTTCAGAGCCAACCACCTTTTCTATAAAAGATGCTGTGCTGTATTGTCGGTATTTACTTCCTAGTTACTCGCGGAGTTGACATAAAAGCCCTTTCGTAAAATTAGATGGTTATTAAGTTGCCTATGGTACCCTTAGGCTTGGTTTTGGGCCGTCTTCTCAGGCTCGCTTTTTTTCACCTTTTTTTCGTGATCTTAACTATTCGGGGTCAACGGGCTCGTTCCGGGGCCTCCCCCCATCCGCCCCTCCCCCGCCGTTGTTTTCGGTTCACCTGCAACTAAGCTTTGGGCTTGACTTAACTGCAGGCCGCCCTTTTTTTTTTTTTTTTTTTTTTTTAGCATAAAGGAATCCGATCCTCGTGCACTAGTGTGCACCCTTCCTGATGCGATGCGACTGTTCACGTCCTAGTCGCCGGCCGCCAGCTCCTTGCTGAACGCTGCCAGACACCGCTGCGTTCTTTGGACATTGCTAAGGCTTTGATAGGCCCCGATACAGGGTCCCCGACTCCTTGTGCTTCGAGACACCTTCGGACGTGCGGGGCTTTTTCTTTTTTATCGGCGTCTTTTTGGCTGATGATAGACCAGAAGTGTGGCAGGTCCGGTTTCGAACATGATTGTAGGTTTAGTTATCTAACAGGACAAATAAAGGGTCTGTTTACCTGCCAGGTCGTGAATGTGTGCCTACTAGGGTACTTCAGAAAGTTCACGGACAGATTAGTATTTTTTTTTTAAGGTTTTTCCGGGGACTTGTTGAAGTCCCTTTGTGTATACGCGCACAGAGGTGCTGCGCGCTGATTGGTTCACAGCGCGGTCTTCCATCTTGGCAGCAATCTCGTCTCAGCTCTGTCCCTGAATTGTGTTTCTGGCAATTCAGGAAAACTAAATATTTTCGAGGATATATCACACCAATTTCACTGTTCAATGAACGGGGTGGCCGAAGCTTTGAGATCTTTCCAAATTCTCCAGTTTTTAACACGTGGGCCTGACCCTTTATTAAAAAGTCCTGATTCAGATTCACAGGTCAGAATGGCAATTTCTTGATTTTCGTTTAAAATATAAATTCTTCCTTTTGTGTCTTTCAATTGCTCCCCCCCTAGTAATATCCTACACATTCGTGGCTTCTCATACATTCGACAACTGCTTGATTGTCATTGAGATTTTCCCAGAATGTCTGTTTCATGTGAGGGGTAGTAACACAGGCTCTTTCTGGGTTTTTCCACAAAAACAGCTGTAAGGGATACTTAAAACAACAGCATATTCTGATGAGGAAAATTGTTATTTCGAGATGAAATGTGTTATAATGGCTCCTTGTGACTTCTTGGAGTGTTAGTTAATTGGGGGGTTCAATTGTTCAACATTTCTCTAGAAAACAGAAATGCAATGACCAATGATCCTCCTGAAATGATGGTTGGGACTGTTTGCACTAGCTGTTCCAGGGGCTATGTAGGAAAAGGTTGAAATGGACTTCTTTAAGGGTTTAAAGAAATCATTTTATTTTTATTGATTTTGTGGGTAGGTTGGACGTGGGGAATGAGTTATTAAAATGTTCAGGAGCCTTGGGTACAGAGATCTGTCATGCTTTGTGTTATGGTTTGAATGTTACAGATTCAGCCTGTTAGGTTGCTGTGACCAGCAGTTTTAAATCGAGCCATTCAGCCCAGTAATTCCAAGTTTAAGAATACAAGGAATACGCTGATAAATGCTCACTGATGCCTACAAGGTTTTTGTAAAGTGTTTAGGGTCCAAAAGTTAAATTTTGAGAGTTCAAATGTTTCTTCAACATACTCTTAGGTTTTCCACATCCTGATATATATTCATCTAGGTTTTTAAATAAAATTTTTACTTTTGGTCTTACTTCCTTTTACCTTTTAGATTAAACTGAAATTTATTATGATTAAAATGTCAGGTCAGGATCTAACTGCTTGCGTATTTTCTTCATAGCTAGCTACCCATGTTTCATAATTGTTAATCTGTTGACTAAGCTTAATTTGTTGAATCCCTTTATTATGTACTAGATTAGCTTATATTTGTGACCTTGCTTGTAAATATCCTACTTACTTGCCAAGCCAAGCAATATTTTCCTCTGACCTCCTGCTCGCCTCCTTCTCAGCCTCATTCTCCCCTGAGGCAAGCCGTAGAAACTAGAATCCCTCTTTCCCAAAATGGTCATAGAAACCAGAATCCCATTCCCCAAAGCCTGCCATAAAGATTAAAATTATGCTCTAATCTCTACCCCCTTTCTGTCTTGGAGCTGGCAATAAAGAAATTCTCTGATCTACCTTGTTTGATGGTAGGTCATAAAACCCACAATCCAGAAAAGGTCCTGCCCCATACCCTGGAGGGATGAATGCTACACAGAAAGGCTCAGAATATGAACAGAGAGGCCTTGCTGGGTTTCCCCTTTCAATCTCTTAGCATTAGGTCCTAGTTTTCTTGTTTAGTCACATTTCTACATGACTGTGCTTGCTTTGTCGAGCCTAAGCATAGAAATGGAAAATTTTTTTCTATAACTTTGGGTGCTTATTCTGAAAGGCTGCCATGTCACATAAAACTATGATGTAATAAAACTTGTTATAGGCCGGCCCATGGCCCTCTCGGTAGAGTGCGGTGCTGATAACACCAAGGCCACGGGTTCGGATCCTATATAGGGATGGCCGGTTCGCTCACTGGCTGAGCGTGGTGCTGACAACACCAAGCTAAGGGTTGAGATCCCCTTACCGGTCATCTTTTTAAAAAAAAAAAAAAAAAAACTTGTTATGCCTTTCTATTAATCTCTGTTTATTACTTGATTTTTCAGAGAACATTTAGGGGGTTGAAGGGGAAGTTTTCCCTTGGTCCCTACAGTACCATAGCATGCCACACAATTTTTTCACAATTCTTGCCTATAGTATCTATTCAAATTCAGGATTTGCAAGTCAACCATTTTTTCTTTTGTTGATCTTATTTTTATGTTTTTCCAGAAAAACATAATCGGGTATTATCTTTTTGGGGACTGAAGGCTAGAAGCAAGGTGATTTGAATTAGAATGGTGTATGTGAGAATAAAAATAACATTTATTTTAAACTTTAATTTCTGTATTTCACCTAATGATTGTGGTTATTTTTTATTGTATGCTATTCACACAATATTTTACAAATTAAGTTCAGAATGACTACAGAAAATGCTAAAGAACATGACAACAACTAATTCCAAAGATCTTGCTTCACATTTCTGCACCTTATTCCTTACAACTAACATTCTTTCTTTTCCTACAGCTGAGATGTAAATTGATATACCATGTATTTGGACAACTGTCAACAACAACAAAAAACACACACAAAAGATTAAACTTGAATGTTATAGTTTACTTGGATTCATTTGTGTTCCAAGGTTTTAATAAAGCAATTTTTGGTTTACACAATATTCCTTTCATTTTTAAGATGGTGAAAGTGACATTTCTCTGTGAGTGTATGTGTGTGTTTTACATTTTATTTTTCTAGACTCTGGTATAAACAACTCTGCCTGGCACAGACATTTGTTACCCATAGAAGGGGTCTCTTAGAGGCATCAAGCACTTGGCTTATACCTGGGCAACTTTCCTCCCAGGCTCTGGACCCCAGATGAAGGCCAAGTATCTTGGTTTTTCTGGTTATCAGTGTGCTGGCTGTGGTGTACAGTGCTTCGCTTTTTTCCCTTTATATTTTCTTTATCTGTAGGATAAAAGGTGCGTTAGGTACAGAGTATGACAGGATAATAAAATTTAAGCAGATATTTAAAAATCAAAGAATGGAAGAAATTTACATTTGTGAAAGGAAATTTACTGAGCGTTTTGCACCAAAGAGTAATGCCAGCATTTTAATATCATTGCATTAAGCATCTATTACTTTGTATTAGGGAAATGATTCAGATGGGGCTAGAGACAAACACAGGGTGTTTACTGTAGCAGAATATGACACCTCAAAATATACTTCACATAAGGATTATTTTTCGCTAAAGTCACTTTAAAAACAGCAGATGCAAGAAGGGCATTCTAGTCTCCCCTCTTCTTCCTGAAAACAGGAGATAAAATTTCTTATGCAAAAGATGCCCTCCCTGTAACCAGGAAAAAAGTACTCTTTAGCAGGGAGTCATAGACGAAATAATTCTGTACAAACACAGTTGGAAGTCATAGTTAAGGGAATTTTGTACATACAAACAGACCTTATTAAAATAATTCTTATCTTCCTTTAGCTTTCCCACAACTGCCTCTCTTTGTTCAACTTAATAGAAAAGCATTTAGGTTCTGTCATATCTTTGGGTCTTCATTTCCTTATGACTGCTCTCCTATCCCATAAAACATACAAAATAAATTTGAATTATTTTGTCCTGTTTATCTATTTAATGCCAAATTAATTCTGGAGAATTAATGCCCACATGGAGACCATAACAGAGTAGAGGTGAAGTTTTGTTTCACAACAATGTACTGATTGAATGCATTAAATGTTTGTTGCAAGATCTTCAGTTAAAGTTTTCTTCCTAAGACATCTCAGAGTGATGTGACATCATAGGCTGAAGTTACAGCTAAAGTTGTTGAAGTCCAGAAACAGTTTTGGTTTGTTAGACAGACTTGGTTGAAAAGACCAAGATTCTCAGAGAAGAGGAAGTCAAGTTCAGGGTTCATTTTTTAGACTTAAAAATTTAGCCCTTCCAATTTTTCCAGTAGAAGTGACTGATTAACGAGTGTTTCAGAGAGATTTAACACAACAGTGAGAAGTCTGTATGAAGATTTGAACTACACTCCAGGCTTGTCTGCAGGAAGGCTGTGATTGTTGTGCATCTTGGGAAAGGGAACAAAGGAATATTTTCTGACAATTATTTCTAACATGTCACGTATGAAAAACAAAACCGTCTGCCATCATCTTGTACTTTATTACATCCTGTGATTTTAAAAAAGCAATCTGCACTAATACATACATTTTTGCTGCTGGCGATACTGTGCTGGTAGTAAAAGCCTGAATATAAGAGGTCAATATCCCAACTCCCAGCAGATTTTTAAATTAATAATAGCTAAAAATAAACCATATTTAAGGGGCCGGCCCGTGGCTCACTTGGGAGAGTGCGGTGCTGATAACACCAAGGCCCCGGGTTCGGATCCCACATAGGGATGACCGGTTTGCTCAC